ACCGGAAACTAAAGACTGCCGAGCAGGAGATTTCCGGAGAAAATCACAGTTAGGGAGATGAGAAATTATGCAAAGAAAATGAAAAACAGACCAGTCATAGGCATCATATAGCTAGGAAGTCTTTGGTTCTTTTATGTTTAACCATGATTAATATCGAACCATGATAAGTTGTTGAGCTTCATATTTGATGTCGTTTCTCATCTTTCTTATAAAATCATCACATTTCTTGTTCAATTCCTCTGTACTAAGCAACCCAATTACTTCCTCTTCCTCTACCTCTACCTCTTCATCTTCATCAACAACAATGTTCTCATGACCTCCAAGTTTATCTTCTCGTACTTCTTCCACTTCCACGACGACCTTTTCCTCTGCGACCAATGCTGGTTTCGTGATCTCTGATAGCTCAACCAGTTTATGACGACTGTCTCCGCTCTTCATGCTCTGTTCTCCATAGAGGTTGGCACTGCTGTCTAGATGAGAATCGCTGATTTTGAGACCAGAGTTCTTGACAATTAAAACTAGAATGCCATTGCAGAGGAGGAACACGTAGTTCTTGTCAATACTGAAGCTAGGGAATTGCATGAAGTTGGATATGAAAGGAAGCAGAGAAGAATAAGAAAATATGACAGAAAAGAAACATACTGGGGCTAACAACTTAGTTGCTAGCTTGAGAGAGTGGAGATGGCTGAAGTGGCTAAAATTGGATTCAAAGTTCTGATGCTTGACACTTCCCATTTTCTTCGGAAGAGAAGGGGAGCTTAAATTCTCGTAGAATAATTCAAGGAGATCAAAGAAAAAAAGAAAGTCACTTGAAAAGTTTTGGTGATCGGAGATTGAAGAGGACAGGGAGAGGGACTGCTACTCCAGGCTAAAGAAAGTGAGTGGCCACTTCAATTTATAGAACCTCAAAAGGTAGCAGATGTTATTGGTTTATTGACAGAATTGCCCTTGCTAATCAAGAAAAGCTGCTTAGAATTTTGGGTTCTGACCAAGTCAGTCAACTACTAATTTCTTTTTGTCTGTAACTCCGATTCTTCTGATAAGACTCGTGGCCTGTCTCGGTATTTTCAAGGTGATCGGCAAGCATTTTCATGGAAGCTGTAAGATTTGCTAGAGAATTATATTGGTAATATTCAACTCTTCTAGTTCGCTGCCAAAATGATTTCAATTGAAAAATGTCAAAAAGTTTGGCTTGCTACAGGAGACCAGGCAGAGCTAGGTTAACTGATTAATGTCAAAAAATGATTTAAAAAACTAATTTAAAATAAATAAAAAAATCTTATCCGACCCCTTTAGAGCACAGTATCAAATAGGGCTAAGACTTGTAACTATACCCTTCGAATGTCATGACTGTAATCATTGCGTTTGAATTTTACTGTACTGTACCTGCCATGGTTAGGCTAGTAATAATCCTTGCTCTATTTCCATGATGATAAATCTTCTCCCGTTAGCCTGTGAGTTAATAGAAATCAAGTTTTTTGTTCGAATAATCTTAATAATATACCCCTTTCAGAGGTATGGTGTTTTTGAAAAAAATAATATTAGTTAATTGTCTTATATATTAATTTCAAAATCCAAAAAAAGACAAAAGAAAGACAGATGCCGGTCAAAGTATTAAGGTTGGTTAGTTTACTAATGCTGGATATATAACATTGTTCGGTCCCATAGTGATCGACCAGCAGATATTGACGTGGTGAAACTTGGAAGATTTTTATTTTTTATTTTTTTAATAACCTTGTATCAATTCATATGTATTATATTATGACTAATTTTTAGGTTTATTAAACATTCTGTAAGTCCACAAAATAAATAAAACATTACAGAAATAGACATACATAGAAAAAATCAAACCTAAATATATATAAAAAAAAATAAGTCTTTTTTTTTTATTACGCTACGAACTGAAATGCAAAAATCTTTAAAGATTTTATTAGAAAAATTAAATGTAACTGCATCAGAATGCTTTAATTAAATTAGCACATTAAATTTGCTTACTTTGATATTTTCTATGGTAGATCTTCTATCTGGCATTATTGCAGGGTAGCCCTCCACATAATTCGACAAGCAAATTCATCAATTTGATAATTAGGTAATTTTTGGTTATTCTTTCATAGACACCGAAAATAAAATAAAATAAAAATAAAAATAAAAATGTATTTGATAATAATATATAGGAAAAAATAATTATTTCTATATCATGATTAGTTGATAATAAACAAGATGAATAAAATATTAAAAAAATTATTTTATCATTAATATATATTATTATTAAACTTACACATTAAAAGAAATAATTAGATATTATTATTTTTTATTTTAATTTATATTGAATATTAAAATTAACAAAAATATAATAACCCTAATTACATAACTTAATATATAACTTAAGACTCGGCTGCCCCAATACCAGGAACAGTATAGGTTTTCGAAAAAAAGCAAATTGTATGGCAAAATTCCAGGTCGTTCAATGATTTGATAGATCCGTGGTAAAATATAAGTGAAAAACTTATTAATTTTTTTGAAAAATAATTTTTTTATTAAAATAATATTATTTTAATTTTAAAAAAAATAATATCTCAATCCGAATTGACTTATCTGATTTATTTTCAATTAATTTTTAAAATTATAATAATAACCACCATTATTTTTATATATCTTATTTATATAATTTTAAAATTAAATTTTTTTATAAAAATATTTTAGGGATAAAAAAATAACAAATATTATGTTTAAAAACATGTCTTATATATATCTTCTATTTTGGAAAAACAAAAATCCACTTTAAAATTATCTCACATAAATTTTTTAATATTTTTGTTTATAGTTTTTCAATCAAATATATTTTTATCTGTATTATTTATGTATTTTCTATTCTTGAACACTCATCGAATCCCAACTTAATTTTTGTACGGTAGATCATTAATTTTCTTCAATTAAGAAGGCACCAGGAATAACTAAAATTTCAAGTCATTTCTCATCTCAACTATTTCTTCTTCTTCTTCTTCTTTTAATGTAAGGAATCCAATTATTCTTACCATGAACCAACCTGGCCTCCCCCTAGTGTTCGTGCATGATTCCATGTTGGAAGTGTTACTTTGTTGCCTGCTATTCTTTGAGATTATTTATTTTTTATGTTTAAAAAATATTTTTTAAAAAAATAATGTTTTTTTATTGTTTTGCTTTAAATCAATTTTATTTATATTTTTAGAATTTTTTTATGTGCTAGTATCAAAAATGAATTATAAAACATTATTTTAATACATTTTCAAATAAAAAATATTTTGAAAAATAATTATTACCACAATGCTAAACAATCTTTTTATTTACCGCACCACGTTCCAATTAGTTATTTTTCCAAAGAGAAATAACAATCAAAAGACTTTATTAAAGTATCTAAAAGTTTCAAAATTTATTAATACTACTAGCTATCTAACATGTTATTTGCTACAAGTGATAAATCTTTTCAAAGTGAAAAATCCTGATTGAAAAAAAGGGATTTCAACTAAAATGTTAAATTAAATTGATAAAATAGCTTTAATAAAAAAAATATTTAAAAAATAAGAGTTAAATTGAAAAAAATCAAACAAGAAAAAATATAACTGAATGATAAAATTAAAAGCTAGAAAAACTTTAACAAAAAAAGACAAGGAAAAATAGTAAAAATCAAAAGAATAAGGATCAAAATGAAAAATAAAACATATAAGAAATTGTAATTGAATGACTAAATTAAAAAAAAATATATAAAAGAAATAAAAACAAAATAAGAAGTTAAAAGAATAAGGATTGAAATTGAAAAACAAAAAAAATGACAATCATGCACTTTACCAGCCCAAAAAGAGAAAATAAGGGGAAAAAAAGATCATTGGTGACAATCTGATCACAAATACGATATCACACACTACACTAAGTGTAAGAAAACATAGTGGTTTATCCAAAGAGATGGTAAAAGGTCAAGTTTGGTTACCGAGTAACGTAACACACACCGCCTTAATGATATGGATGTCACTTCACGTGCCAACAACTTTTTTGATTAAAAATCAATATGAAAATACCAAAATACCCTCATAACCATGATAATTACTCTAAAAACTAGTGTGAAAGTATAAAAATACCCAAATATAAACCTTTTTTTTTTGTCTTTTTCAAGGCCAAAAGCGTATAAAAGAGAGAAAAGAAAGGAAAAAAAAATATCACTGGTAACAATCTAATCACAATATGATATCACACGTCACACTAAGTATAAGAGAACATAGTGGCGTATTCAAAGAGATAATAAAAGATCAAATTTAGTTATCGAGTAGTGTAACACGCACCGTCTGAATGATGTGGATGTCACCCCACATGCCATTAACTTTTTTTATTATAAAATCAACATGAAAAATGCCAAAACACCTTTATAACCATGGTAATTACTCTAAAAACTAGTGTGAAAATATAAAAATACCCAAAATACAAATCTTATTTTTTGTCTTTTTCAAGGCCAAAAACATACTTTAATTGTACATGAATAATAATAATAATAAAAAACCCTTATTCAATAGCACAAGATGTTTTTGACCATAGGGATAAAGAAATATTTTTATTGTTTAAAAATTCATAAAAAGTAAAAAAAAGCTTTGATGAACAATTTAAGCTTTATTAACTTTATGAATAAATGAGTATTTTTATCATGTAAAGAAAACAAAAAAAACTTAGACATCATCAAACAAGTTTTTAATGATAGATGGGCCAGTAAAAAAATCAAAACACCTCAATATTGAGTTTTTTATTTAATTTAAAAGTAAATAAATAATTTTCGTATAGTACTCCAAAAAAAATTATACCTTTGACTACAACGAAAAACTCATGCCCTACAAGGTTTTGGTTAATTTTCTTTCTAGAGGAAAAAAAATTAAAAACGCAAGACTTCGATAACTTATTTTATATCTAAAATGCCCTTATTTAATATTATATGTATACCCAAAACGCTTTTATACGATTTATACTTTTTGGACAGTCCTCGTCAGAAAGTTTCAGTGAAGTTTTGACAAAGTCGGAGGATTATTTTCTACCTGGAAAGTCACTGTTCATTACTACTGTAAAAGAGTTGCGTCCAGTTTTTTCAATATAGCAAGTTTCAATTTCTTTTTTTTATTTTTCCTTTTTTTTATATCATGGCACCACAAAGACGGCGATTTTTTTTTTAACTTATATCATCAATGGAATAATTATTTTTCATCAAAAAAATAAAAAATAAAAAATCAAATAAACTTATATTGTTGGTCTCTTCATTTGATGGACCACGCACCTGAAAAAATTTATAAGGACAGATTGATAATTACAATAAAATGGAAATACATATTATATAATTTTAATGTGAATATATCAAAATTCCCCGTATAATTAATTTAAATAGGTGGGTGCATGTAGAGTGATGGTTACTAGAGGTATAACTAGTAAAAGATATGTGAGGCAATGTTTGTTTTTCGGAAGAGGAAGAGTATAGAAACCAGACAAATCCTGTTCTCTAGTTAGCAAGATTGACAATTGTTTGGAGCGGAAGGGCTAACATCAACTAGTTTACCTTCGAATGTTTCAAAGCACGGGACCAATTCCAATCCCCGTAAATCAAGCTCCCACAGTCTGGTTCGAGTGCACCTTCTTGTACGTTCAGGAAAAATACGCGGTCGGACTTAAACTATTACGGTTGTGTACCGTGTTTATAAAATTTTTGAATAATTTTAGTTTTGTTTAGA